ATTTTTTAAGATTTATTTATTTGTTTAAAAGACAGAGTTACAGCCGGCCGGTGCCGCGGCTCAATAGGCTAATCCTCCACCTTGCAGCGCTGGCACACGGGGTTCTAGTCCCGGTCGGGGCGCCAGATGCTGTCCCGGTTGCCCCTCTTCCAGGCCAGCTCTCTGCTGTGGCCCGGGAGTGCAGTGGAGGATGGCTCATGTGCTTGGGCCCTGCACCCCATGGGAGACCAGGAGAAGCACCTGGCTCCTGGCTTCGGATCAGCGCGGTGCGCTGGCCGCAGCGCACTGGCTGCGGTGGCCATTGGAGAGTGAACCAACGGCAAAGGAAGACCTTTCTCTCTGTTACTCTCTCTCACTGTCCACTCTGCCTGTAAAAAAAAAAAAAAAAAAAAAGACAGAGTTACAGAGATAGGTAGAGACAGAGAGGTCTTTCATCTGCTAGTTCACACAAATGGTTGCAATGGCTGGAGCTGAGCCAATCCGAAGTCAGGAGCCAGGAGCTTCTTCTGAGTCTCCCAGAAAGGTGCAGGTCTCCCTAGCACTTGGGCCATCCTTGTTGCTTTCCCAGGCGCATTAACAGGGAGCTGGAAGTGGAGCAACCGGGACACAAACAGGTGCCCATGTGGTATGCCGGGGGCACTGCAGGCAGTGGCTTTACTCACTACATCACAATGCTGGCCCTGAAGTTACTTTTTAAAAAGTTATTTATTTATTTGACAAGAAGTGATGGGGGTGGGGAGGGGAAGGAGAAAGAGAGACAGATCTTCCATCTGCTGGTTCATTCCCCAAATGGCCACGATGGCTGGGGCTGGGTCAGGCTGAAGCCAGGAGCCTGGAACACTGGATCCATCCAGGTCTCCCACATGGGTGGCAGAGGCCCAAGGACTTGGGGCCATCTTCCACTACCTTCCCAGGTGCACTAGCAGGGACTGGATCAGAAGCAGCTGGGACTCAGACCTGCACTGCTACGTGGGAGGCTTGCGCTGCAAGCAGTGGCTTAAGCTGCTGCGCCACGATGCCAGCCCCCTGAGGGCACATCTTAAGCTTGGAAACCGCGGCTTCACTCCTCTCTGTGCTGAGCCCCTGTCACCCGCCCCAGCCGCAGGCACTTGGGATCTGTAGTGTTGTCAGTGGGGTTTCGAGCTGCCATCTCGTCTCAGCTGCTGTGTGCGTCTACCTGGGGCGGGTTACTGGGATCCTCTGTCCCACGATTCCGGGCCCATCCAGACTTCAAATGTTCTGCTCCGCCTTTTCCTGTAACTAATTGAAACGCCCTGGAATTCTAGTATTTGGCATTAAATACGTCTCTTCGATGCCCTCTTCACCGGCCTCTCCCAGAAGCTGGGTCAGGCCAGGTGAGACCATTTCCTCTGCTCATTGATGGGGTAAAATGTTTGTTGCAGGAAGCAGGGCTGACCCTGGGAAGAAGATAAACTGGAAATGCATCAAACCAAAAAGACCAGGTGTCACCAAGGCCGGAAGTGGCCAAGGTTAACCACCCAGGAAGTCAAGGAAACAGGTCAAGCCCAGGGTTATTCAGCACCTACATTGGAAAGCACACACCATCTGCCCGGGTGTGTCTGTAACAAGTGTCTGGTGTTCTGGGCCTTATCTGCAGCCAGATTTGATGGAAAATATCCTTGGACACACCATCACCTGTGTTTTACCCTACGAAATGGAATTCTGTCCCAAGTTAGGTTTTTGTGTCCATCTCGTGGCAGCACCAAGTTCCTAATAGCGCCGTGGCTGAGAGAGCCACAGGACCTGTGCCGCTGTGCTGTGGCCCCTGGTGCACACGTCTCACAGAGCCACCACGCTGGACGATGGTGCAGTGAGTGGGAGGAGACAGTGCAGATGGTGGGCAAGGAGCAGGAAGGTCAGCCCTGGTCTCCCCCGTGGCCCGACTGTCTCCGTCTTGGCATTGTGATTCATGTCTGAGCTTTGCACAGGGCACGGCAGTCGGTGAGAATCGGGAGAGGGGCACTGCTCCTTCTCTTCTGTTGATGCACAGGGAGGAGGAGGCTTCACTTCTTCTGGACTCAAAGCTCCCAAGCCACCACACCGCGCCATTGTACCTGCTCAGGACTGAGGTTCTTGAATCAATTTTTTTCCTTTTTTTTTTTTTTTGACAGGTACAGTTAATGAGAGAGAGAGACAGAGAGAAAGGTCTTCCTTCCATTGGTTCACCCCCAAAATGGCCACCATGGCCGGCGTGCTGCACCAATCCAAAGCCAGGAGCCAGGTGCTTCTCCTGGTCTCCCATGGGGTGCAGGGCCCAAGGACTTGGGCCATCCTCCACTGCCTTCCCGGACCACAGCAGAAAGCTGGACTGGAAGAGGAGCAACCAGGACAGAATCCGGTGCTCCAACTGGGACTAGAACCCGGGGTGCCGGTGCCACAGACAGAGGATTAGCCAAGTGAGCCATGACGCCGGTCATTGAATCAATTTTTTTAAAGATTTATTTGTTTTATTTGAAGGGCAGAGGTACAGAGAGAGACAGAGACAGAGACCTTCCATCCACTGGTTCCCTCTCCAAACGCCCATAACAGCCAAGGCTTGGCCAGGCGCATGCCAGGAGCCCAGAATTCAATCCAGATCTTCCATGTAGGTGACAGGGACCCAATCCCGAGGCATCATCTGCTGACCCTTGGTGAGCACTAACAGGAAGCTGGATGGGAAGTGGAGCCAAGACTCAAATCAGGCACGCTGATGCGGGATGTGGTGTGATTAAACACTGCACGAAATGCCCAGACCTCGGGTTAATGTCTTACAAGGCCAATGCATTATAGCAGTTCCCATTATATTTGAGATTTCCTGAAATGACTCTTAAATTTCTGGGGCCGGGGCCGGAATCCTTACAAAGCCCCGAAGTTGTCATTCCCACCTCCTTTCTCCCTTCGCCCCTGGCCTGGGACCCCCCTCCTGCCCGTCCTTGCAGTAGCCCAGGTGCAGTCTGAGGGTCAGGGTCAGGAGAGCAGCTCGCTCTCTCCCTGCCCCCTCTTCTTCCTCCCTGTCCTCCTCCTCTACTTCCCTGTCTTTCTGCTCAGTCATCTCTCCCCTCCTCCACCCCAACCACCTCAACTTGAGCTTTGAACATCAAATGCTGACATGCTGTGCTGGCCTGAAGACTGGACAGTGTGCCTGCACATGTGTGCCTGTGTGTGTGTATGCACGTGTGAGTGTGTACATGTGCATGTGGGTGCCTGCGTGTGCACATTTATGTGTGTGCCTGTATGTGTGTGCCTGTATGTGTGTGAATGTACACGTGCCTGTGTGCATGTGTGCACGTGTGTGCGTGTATGTGCACGTATGTGCGCGTGTAATATGTGTGGATGTACACATGCGTATGTGTTAATGTACACGTGCATGTGTGTGCATGTACTATGTGTGAGTGTGCATGTGCATGTGTGTGCATGTGTGTGTGCATGTGCTGTGTGCATGTGTGTGCGTGTGTGTGTGGTGTGTATCAGTGTGGGCACAGTGGGCAATGTGTGTATTTGAGTGAATACGTGAACTTAAATGTGCACAAGGGTACTTCAAAAAGCAAATGGGAAAATGGAACTAAAAGGTAAGTTTAGGGTGCTGGCATTCCGGTGCAGTGGGTTAAGCTGATGTTTGCCACGCCAGCAGCCCGTACCAGAGTGACAGTTCCAGTCCCAGCTGCTCTGCTTTTGATCCAACTCCCCACTAACATGCCCAGGAGACCGGCGGAAGGCCCAGGTGATTGGGCCCTGCACCCATGTGGGAGATGTGAATGGATTCCAGGCTTCTGGCTTCAGCCTGGCCCAGCCCCGGCCATAGTGGTCATTGGGGAATAAACCAGCAGATAGAAAATCTCTCTGTCTCTCCCTCTCTCCATGTCACTCTGCCTTTTAAGTAAATAAATAAATCTTTTTTAAAAGAAATAAGTAGGGGCTGATGCTGTGGCGTAGGTTAGGCCTCTGCTTGCAGTGCCAGCATCCCTTATGGGCACCAGTTCCAGTCCTGGCTGCTCCACTTCCGATCCAGCTCTCTGCTGTGGCCTGGGAAAGCAGTGGAAGATGGTCCAGGTCCTAGGACACCTGTACCCGCATGGGAGACCCTGAGGAAGCTCCTGCCTCCTGGCTTTGGATTGGCCCAGCTCCTGCCATTTAGGGAGTGAACCAGAGGATGGAAGACCCCTCTCTTATTTTCTCTCCTTCTCTCTGTCTATAGTTCTGCCTCTCAAATAAATAAACAAAGCTTTTTAAAAGATGCGTAGAGGTGAGTTGAGGGGGGAGTGTTTGGCTTCGTGGTTAAGACTTTGCTTGGGATGCTGTTTTCTGGGAGTGCCTGGCCGGAGTTCCAGCTCCTCCCCTTCCCACACAGTTTCCCGCCAGTGTGCACCCTGGGAGCAGCAGTCGACGGCTCAAATAGTTGGGTCCCTGCCACCCATGTGAACACCGTGACTGAGTTCCTGGCTCCTGGCTTTGACCTTGACCAGTCCCAGTTACTAGGAGCTTTTGAGAGTGACCCAGTGGATAAGAGTTCCTTCTTTCTCTCTCTCTCTCTCTCTCCCACTCAAATAATAATAATAAAGCAGTATATGTTTTGGAGTCCATGCATAGGTTTCTGTGAACTTTCTCAAGGTCCCTCATGTGCGTGTGCTCCCAGGGAGGGGACCCCGAGTTACCATGCACCTGTCTAGAGGAGCGATGTGCTGGGAACGGTGGTGTGTGGGCGGCCGGATGTTTTGGTGGAGCGTGTCTGGGCGTGCCTGGCACAGCTGCTCCCTTGATCTTCCCTCCTTCAGACCTCACCAGTGAGAGCCTGGCTGTGCTGTCCAGAGCTGATAAGCAGCTTCACGTGGGGAGGACCAGATGCCGCGTCCTCACTTCCTAATCAGGGTGGAAATACTGCAAAGCGTGTTCAGGCTCTGCAGGCGGCTCGGCCAGGGCTCTGTCGTCTGCACCCGCGGCTCCAGGCCAGCCGGTCGTGAGGGTCAGAAACAGGAAGCAAGAGCACAAGGAAAAACACTGTATTATTATTGTAAAGATTTGTTTTTTATTTTATTTGAAAAGCAGACTTACAGAGAAGCAGAGGCAGAGAGAGAGAGAGAAAGAGAGAAGTCTTCCATCTGCTGGTTCACTCTCCAGATGGCCACAATGGCCGGAGCTGGGCTGATCCGAAGCCAGGAGCCAGGAGCTTCTTCCAGGTCTCCCACATGAACGCAGGGACCCAAGGACCTGGGCCATCCTCCACTGCTTTCCCAGGCCATATCGGATAACTGGATCGGAAGTGGAGCAGCCGGGACCGGTGCCCACATGGGATGGCAGCACTGCAGGCAGTGGCTTTACCCGCTACACCACAGCAATGGCCCCCAACACTGTCTTTAAAACCTGCCAACCAGGAGGACAGGAAGGAGGGGATTTTTAAGATGTCTGTCTTTCGACCCGGCCCCGCCCCGCCCCAAGTGAACCAAGAACAAGGACAGAAATAGGTAAGGCCAAGACCGTTCTGGTGGGGGGAAGTGGAAAAGCAGCCATTGCGTGAATGGGAGGCTTGGTACAGCTCAGCCAAGCAGAGGGTTTTCCAAGCCTGCAGGTCACCGCGAGTCTCATGGCCCCAAGGACCGTTGTGGAGAGTCAGCCGAAGGCTGGAGGAAAGTGTGAGGGCTGAAAGTCAGCCAGTGCCACCACCTGCTCTCAGGAGAGAAGAGGAAGGCCCTGCAGTGCAGGTGCTTGATGCCAGCAACAGAAGAGCTTCCTGCCGGCTGCTGGAAGTGACGGTGGCCGTGGCACATGGCAGGGTAAGGGGCGCAAGCTCCTCCCCCCAAGGCAGCATCGAACCTGAGCACCCGGGCCTCACGACTGCCCATGGGATGTCCAGGTGCAGACTCACCTGCTGCAGGCACCGTGGGCACCGCCCAGACATCAGTGGCTGAAGTCATCAGGGTTCTCCGGGCCCTGGGGTCAACCACAGGCGACATGAGGGCTGGGAGGGTCTCGGGTCCCACAGTGCAGCCCTGGACTCCTCCTCAGTTCCTGCCTGAATCCCATCTACGTAGCTCAAACTGGAACTGTGCAAGGTTTTAATGGAATTAAAAGGTAAGTGGATTTTGGTGCAAAATGTTTTGAATTCATGCTTATTTTTTATCATAGTATGCATTTTTGACAAGCTTTTTGAAGTACCCTCATGTATTGTTTGGTTTGCACAGCATTTAAGCATTTTATTTTATTTTTTTAAGATTTATTTTTTATTTATTTGAAAGGCAGAGTTACAGAGAGAGGTAGAGACAGAGAGAGAGGTCTTCCATCTGCTGGTTCACTCCCCAGATGGCCACAACAGCCGGAGCTGCGCTGATCCAAAGTCAGGAGCCAGGAGCTTCCTCCTGGTCTCCCATGTGGGTGCAGGGGCCCAAGGACTTGGGGCATCTTTACTGCTTTCCCAGGCCATAGCAGAGAGCTGAATAGGAAGTGGAGCAGCCAGGACTAGAACCGGTGCCCATATGGGATGCCGGCGCTTCAAGCCAGGGCTTTAACCTGCTGTGCCACAGCGCCGGCCCAGCATTTTAAAAATCAGTTGTTGGGGTGGGCCTTGTGCTGCAGCGAGCTAAGTTGCTTCCTCTTGGGGTGCTCACCTCCCCGATCAGAGTGCCTGGTTGAGTTTTGGCTACTTCACTTCTGATCCGGCTTCCTGCTAATGCGCATCGTGGGAGGCAGCCAATGGTGGTTCAAGCCCTTGAGTCCCTGCCACCCACGTGGGAGGTCCAGACAAAAATCCTGGCTCCCGGCTTCAGCGCCCCGGTCCCGGCTGTTGCAGGCATTTGGAGAGTAAACCAGCAGGTGGAAGATCTCTCTCTCTCTCTCTCTCTCTCTCTCTCTCTTGCTCTACTTTTCAAATAAATAAAATATGCACTATAAAAAATGTTTAAAGAAAATGCAGGAGTCTGTATTTTAAAAAATAGTTGTCAATAATTACTTATTGCTTTATATTTTTAGAAATCTAAAATGTCTACAACAGCAGGGGCCAGGCCAGGGCTAAAGCCAAAGCCAGGCGTCAGGATTTCGATCCAGATCTCCCACGGGGGTGGCAGGAACCCAGCTACCCAGGTCCTCACCTGCTGCCTCCCAGGGTGTGCATCACAGCAGCAGGCATGAAGAGAGGAGCGCAGAGCCTAGAACCCTGACCTGGCCCGGAGGCATCCCAGCGGCGCCTTAGCCACCATTGCAGATGCTCGTGCTGTGGAAAAACACACGCATTTCAGACGCATGTATTTCAAACCATCTTACATCAACAAACCCCAGTTCTGGTTACTGCCGGCTGCCAGAAGCAGGGCTTTCAGAAATCATCCACGCATGACGTTTAATTTTTAGATGAAGAAAGGAGGCCACGAGAGGTGCTGGCAACCCCACGGCAGATGGAAGAGGCCAGACCGCCCACCTGGTCTGGGGCTTGTCCCTGGGCTGGACGCTGGCTGCATTCACTGAAATTGGCTCACTCGATGTTTTGCTTACTCAAGGACTCTGGGCACACAGTGGTGAGCTCCGCAGCTGGTCTGAGCATTGGCAGCGTCCACCCAGAGGTGGTCCCCGGGCCGGAGGGTAGGGGATGGTCACTTGGGAAGGTGGGGCAGGTGGACTAAAAGCTCAGGGGCAGACGGAGCTCAGGTGCTTGTACTGATGCCGACATCTCCACGGTGGGCAGCAGGGATCTGGGCAGAGAGAGACGGTGGGCCTCGCAGGAGCAAGACAGTCAGTTGGTGAGGAGTGACCGGGAGGGCAGAGTGACTTCAGAGAGGGGAGGGGACAGTGGTCAGGCAGAGCAAGAAGAGCCGTCCTGCCACCTGGACCTGAGGGGTACAGACTGTTGGCAGAGTGGCTCCAGGGCCAGTGTTGCGGCGCTGTGGGTTAAGCCACCACCTGTGATGTCGGCATCCCACATCCCAGTGCTGCTTGGAATCCTGGCTGCTCCACTTCTGATCCAGCTCCCTGCAAATGGCCTGGGAAAGCAACAGAGGATGGCCCAAGTGCCGGGGTCCCTGCATGGGAGACTCAGATGCAGTTCCAGAGACCTGCTTTCAACTGGGTCCAGCTGCAGGCCATTGAGGCCACCTGGGGAGTGAACCAGGCAATGGAAGATTCTCTCTCTCTCTCTCTCTCTCTCTCTCTCTCTCTGTTTTTCCTGCCAAATAAAAAATAAATAAGTAAAGCTTAGCAGCCCAGGCTCCGTGTGAGGTGGCCGCAGGCACAGGCAGTCAATGCCAGCCGGCCGAGGAACTACTCAGAGGAGCAGAGAGCAGAGGGCGCTGGAGCCGGGGGAGGGGGGAGGTGCCCAGTGGTTCAGAAGGGAGGCTGTGGGCTTCGGGAGGGCAGGGAGCAGGACTCGCCGTGGGGAGGGGAGCGTGTGCCCCTGGGACAGCGGCCTGCGTCTGCAGAGGGAGGGAGGTGTGGTTCCAGACTGGCCCTGGAGCTCCCGGAAGGAGGCTGGGCAGCGGAGACAAGGGACGGAGCATTGGTCGGGCCAGGGACCTCCATATCGGGGCCCTGGCTTTGGGCTCCCCAAACCCACCTCTTTATCCCCTCCCTGTCACTCACTGTCGGCCGCCGGCAGGGGTGGCTGTGAGGTGTCCTGGGGTCCTCAAGCCTGCAAGGTGGCCGATGTCTGGCAGGCCCCCCCGCAGGGCTGGACTCCCTGTGCCTGGGCAGGGCAACGTTCCGTGTTTCTTCCCGTCCTCGGCCAGCCTGGCCCTGGGGAGGGTGCAGGCAGAGGAAGGAAGGATGGCTGAGGGTGGATGAAAGAGAGCAAGAGAGAGAGGAGGGAGGCGCTGGGGGAGGGGCAAGAGGGATGGACAGATGGCTAGACCAGGGTTCGGCTGGAAAGGTCTGGGGCGCTGTGTTCTTGCTCTGTGACCGCCCAGGCGCGTCCCAGGAGCAAAAGGATCGGAGCGATCTGCTGGGAGTTGTTCCCTGGGGGCCCCGGGACTGTGACCTCCCACACCTGCCTCGGCCGAAAGTGCCGGAAACTCCACAGGGGAACACATGGACTTGGGGACAGCAGCAGATCTGAGGCTGAATTTATTGCCCCCTTCCCAAAAGTAGAGGACAGACACATTGTAAACCTGCTCCTCACCCCCGGGGGCCCAGGGCAAGCCCACGTCGGCTCCAGACAGAAAACAAGCGAAGAGGCCCTGGGCCCGTCCGGGCTCCCCAGATGTCGCTCTGGCAGAGCCATAATGGGGCCGGGCGCCTGCGGCGGGGAGAGGAAGCTGGCGTCACAGCTGTGAGAGCCGAGGCCCCGGGGGGCGAGGGCTGAGGTGTGGAGGAAGACAGATCAGAAAGGGGACAGGAAGAAGAGGCACCACAGTGTCCCCCGCTGGCGTGGCCCTGCGTCCCAGGTATTGCTCTATTGGGAGCCAGGGGTTCGGTTCCTATTGTCCAGATCCAGAAGCCAGAGAGAAGGCTGGACTAGGAGGAAGCTCCCTGAGCCTCCGTTTGCAAATCCGGGACAAGAGCATGCTGGGCCCAGAGAGCAACTCTGTCTCTTCCTTCATCTGTCGTGTCTGGTCTACTCCGACGGCTCCCGGGCTCCACTGGAGTATGCCGTCACTCCCATCAAGGGACAAATCTCTTGATTGGGTGATGGATCCTGATATCCGCTTAAGGGCCCAGTCCTGCCAATCATCCTTTTACTGGGGTAAAGGTTTATTTACTTAAGACATAGAGTGACAGAGAGAGACAAAGAGAGAGGTCTTCCATCTGCTGGTTTCAGTCTCCAAATGGCCACAACAACTAGGACGGGGCCAGGCCAAAGCCAGGAACTCCATCCAGGTCTCCCATGAGGCTGGCAGGGACCTAAGCACTCGTACCATCTTCTGCTGGTTTCCCAGGAGCATTAGCAGGTAGGCAGATTGGACGCAAGCAGCTGGAACGCGAACCGTTCCTCCAATATAGAATGCCAGCGTCGCATGCAGAGGCTTAACCTTCTGTGCCACCATGCTGGCCCCAATCAGCCTTTTGGAAAGTCTTCTACTTGGCATCATCTGAGCCACCACCGTTAGATGCTCTGGACGGCACCAGCCGTGGCCTCTGCCGGCAGTGCTGCCTGTCACGCCCGTTCCGTAGCCCGTTCCCATCCTCTGCCGGCACAGCTCCTTCTACCTCATCTCTCTCCCGCCCGGAAACCCTGATGAGTCCCTTCAAAGGAAGGGTGAACGTGCAGTTCTTAGCCTGGCCTCCAGCCCTTCCCAGTGTGGCCCAGCCTCTGATCCCGCTAACCCATTCTCGGTTTGTCAGCTTCACACTTGGCGAGTTGATACCCTTGTGCCTTTACTCACGGTGTTGGTGGGGCCTGGAATTCTCTCTGTCCACTCCTTCACCTGTCGAAAGCCTACGGATCCTTCAACGCTTGGCTTCCACACTGCCTCCTGTGTGAAGCCCGCCTGGATTCACCACCAACCCCAGCCCCTCTGTGCCCAGGACCGTTTGTGTGTAACTCTGCCGGCTCGTTCCTGGCATTACGATTTGTCGTGTGGGCCCGAGAGGTTATGTTTCCTTAAAGGCAGAGACCAGGTTCTCTATCTGCACGTCGGTGCCTGGCACACACTGTGGCCCCCAGCACACAGTAGGTACTCGGGGAGCCTTTACCAAACCTGGCTGAATTAATTAGCTGCAGGTAGTGACACATAAAGAGAGAAAACATCATTCTCCTGTATTGTTTAAGGGACAAGGAAGGCCCGGGGGTTGGTGGACATGTCAGTCTCTAAAAGGGGCCATGGGTGGTAGACAGGGAGTAGGGTGGGCCTCCCCCACTCTCTCCACTAAGAATAAGGCTGGAGGGGTGTCTGCCCGGAGCCTGAGACTGAGTGGTCTGAGTTCCTTGTCCCTTCCATCTCGTTCCAGTGGTGGCCCACTGCTACGGCTCAAAGCTAAGCTTCTGAACTGACTTGTAGCTAGTTTATCCCAGTGTGCTGGGCATACATGCCTGGGAGCCGGTGCAATCCTAGCTATGCCATCTTGAGCAAGTTATGAAAGCTCTCTGTGCCTTGGTTTCCTTATCTGCAAAATGAAGCCCAGAGCGGCTCGCCCCTCACCAAGTTGCTGGGAGGGTTAAATGGGTATACAGTAGTCCCAACACTGCCTAGCACATAACAGCAGTCAGTATGCATTAACTATTTTTTTTTGACAGACAGAGTGGACAGTGAGAGAGAGACAGAGAGAAAGGTCTTCCTTTGCTGTTGGTTCACCCTCTAATGGCCGCCGCGGTCGGTGCGCTGTGGCGGGATCACCGCACTGATCCGATGGCAGGAGCCAGGTGCTTATCCTGGTCTCCCACGCAGTGCAGGGCCCAAGCACTTGGGCCATCCTCCACTGCACTCCCTGGCCACAGCAGAGAGCTGGCCTGGAAGAGGGGCAACTGGGACAGAACCCGGTGCCCCGACCGGGACTAGAACCCGGTGTGCCGGCGCCGCAATGCGGAGGATTAGCCTATTGAGCCGCGGCGCCGGCCAGCATTAACTATTATTTTAAAAAAGATTATTTTAAAGGCAGAGTGACAGAGAAAGTTACAGAGAAAGAGACAGAGATCTTCCATCCACTGGTTCACTCTCCAAATGGCCACAGCATCTAGAGCTGGGTCAATCAGAATCCAGGAGCCAGGAGCTTCTTCTAGGTCTCCCAAGTGGGTGCAGGGACCCAGTCATTTGGACCATCTTGCATTGCTTTCCCAAGTACATTAGCAGGAAGCTGGATTGGAAGTGGAGCAGCTGGGACTCAAACTGGCGCCCATATGGGATGCTGGCATCACAGGCAGCAGCTTAATCCACTATGCTACAACACCAGCCCCATGCGTTACCTATTAATATCTATAATTTATCCTTTGTTCATTTCCCAGAAGAACCCGAGATAGCTTAAAATATTAAACTCCATCCGAAAGAGGACAATTATACGTATGCTTCTGTTATGTTAGAGACAAGGAACTACTTAGCAGTGGGAAAGACATTTGTGTATTGGTCTGAAGTTGCTATTTCATTGACTCCTAAATTCATCTCTGAGCTTCCAAGAAGTCAAGGCAAAAAGGGAAATACATTCATCATGAGGTTCTTATTTTGAAATAGAAGAAAGCATTCAAGTCAGTCTGTTAAAATAGCCCCCACGTACTGATCCATACATTCCTCGAGGGGGAATTTATGGTGGGACTCTCATATTGGAATACTGACTTCACAGCAGGAAAACCTGACCAAGAGTGTGAAGTTACTCTAGCTGGCACTTAGCGTCGTCCATGCACGCTCAGGCTGAGCCTTAATGCAAGCCCACGGTGGCAACAGCAGTCAGGGTGAGGCTCACCACCACCACCTCCACGTTTCTTTCTACCCCGGCTCAGGGCTTCCTTCCCTCTGCTGGGGCTTGGGAGCTCCCTTGAGGTCAAAGTTTGAGCCCTGCTGAATCTGAGGACAGTCAGGTGGCTCCGGTGCCAGCAGGAGGAGCCCACAGCGGCAGCAAGGGAGGGGGTGTGTCTAAGTGGGTTTTGAGAAGACTGAGCCCCCAAATTTGGAGAACGATGACCTCAGTGGGAATGGGTACGTGCCCAGAAAGAGGACTCCCTGCACTGCCATCCCCGTTCCAGCTTCCGGAATCAAAGAGGGCTCTGCGGCGCCTAAGCAGAGGTCCGGGAAGCCTGCCTCCACCGCCACACCACCCCTGCCATGTCAGTCGGCTCAGCGGCATCGGGGAGGGTCCGAAGGAGCAGACCTGCTCTGCGGAAGAAAACAGGGGAGGAGTAAAACCCAGAGAGAGAAGAGAGCGCTGAGACCTCGCAGCGCCATTTAGGCGGCAGGGGTGGGGGCTGCAGCCGGCATTAGGGAGGAAGGCGAGGGAACTGTTAAGAACACAGACGCCCAGCACTCCACTTGCAAGCTCTTTGCTGTACTAACCCTCTCCGGGGACCCAACCCTTCAGCAGAATCCTTGATGCACGTGCAGACCCCGTAAGGGGTGCTTCTGTAGGGAGAGGGAAAGCGCTGGGATCCACCGCGCGCAGCACGGCGCACGTGGTCTGCGAGCCCCTGCAAAACTGAACTGTCTTGAGAAAAAGAGCTCAGAGCCAGAGGTGCAGATGAAAGGAAGCCTCCCCCACCCTCCACCCCCTCTCAGCATGGTCTGAGAAGAGCACAGGGCTCCCGTTGAACTTAGCGCGAAGCCTGGAGCCAGTCTTGCCCAGCAGCTGACACAGGTTACTCATTGGTGCCATCAGGTGTCGTCCAGAGTCCCTGCTCGCCACTTGGCCTCTCCCTGGCAGGGCTGTCCCGTGGGGCTCCTGAAGCCAGGAGTGGGGAGGAAGGCTGGGCGAGCGAGCCCCCAGAGAGTTCTCTCGTCTGGCCTGGGCGGATGACTCACTGCCCTTTAAATATGGGTCATAAATCAATCGCTTGATCTCTGGATCTGAACACCTTTTGTCCGGGTCCTAGAGAGATCAAAGTAGGGAGACTGGGTCCCCACGGTCAGGGTGGAAGGTGGGAGCGCCTCTGGTTTGGGGGGGTGCTTGGAGTTCCCAAGCACAGCACACAGAGGTCCCGGAGGCAAAGCTGCCCGCAAACAGAGCACCCTGGGCAGGGGTGCGCTGTGCAAACACAGCTGGCAGTTAACCCCAGGCGCCACAGCTGGAGCAGGAAATGGCCTGCTGGGGCTGGGAGATCTGAGCCCAAGCATTCCCACGGCAGCTGGCCTGCTCACCTGTCGGGGAGCCTGCTCACCTGTGGGCTCGCGCCTTGTGGCAGTTCTGGTCCCCTCCTGGGCTGTAACTGGCAGGGTTATCTCAGGCCTGCTCACCACCGGCTTAACTAACAGAGCCCCAAACAAACAGCCCCCCCAGCCCTGGGAGCCGGAGACAAACACCAGATGACTGTGTTTACAAAGCTTCAGCCAGCCGGCAGGTCAAAGGGCAGCCCGGAGCAGCTGGGCCAGGCCCCAGAGAGGCAGGTTGGGGGCTGGAGGGGGGGGGCTCCGCCCCAGCAGGGGCACCACGTGACCACCTGGGGCCTGAAGGGCGCTTGGCAGCCCAGGAAGCCTTTAGCCGACAGGGAGCGAGGAGCCGCGCACAGAGGCCCCAGGCTCTGTGTTTTATGGAGAAGGAAGTTGAGGTCACAGGGGAACTTACGGGCCACGCTGAGGGGGCCTGCACTTGCGGCGCCCACGCGCTGTCCGTTCTGGTCCCCTCCCCTCCCCTCCCCTCCCCCCCACCCCCGCTAGGGAAATCTGGGGCTGTCCCAGGGCCGCCGTGAAAGGCCAGCTGGTCATGTGCATTTCAGGCTCGCTCGGCGCGCGTCCTCCAAGGCCGGCTCAGGCCTGTCCGGGCAGGCCCGCCCGTCGCCGCCCCGGCCGGAGCCTGCGCCCATATAAGGGCAGCGCTTCCCGGCGGCCCGGCCGTGACGCGCCGCGGTCCACGTCAGCGGTCGGCGGGCGGGCGGTCGCCGGCTCCAAAACCAGTGACGCGAGCGGGGAAGGAAGGGGCCCCCCCCCCCGGGTTAAACCCCTGGGGCGGCCGGGGGAGATAAGCCAGGCCCCGTTTAACGGGGTGGCTCCCGGCCCGTGTGGGGAAAAAGAACCGGGGGCTTGGGGCCCCTCTTTTGGGGGTCTGGGGGAAGCCCCCGGGGGCCCCTTTTTTCTCCCTCGGCAAAGTTTTAACACGGAAACAAAGTTTTCCCTTTGGGGCCCCGGGAATTCCCAAATTCGTCCCCGGCCCCCCCCCCCCCCCCGCAAAGCGGAGGCTTTGTCCTCAGGGACAGGCCGGCCCTGGGACCCCGGGGGTCTTCTGCAGCGGCTGAGAGGGCCGGCTTCCCCCAACCCAGCCAGGGGCCACGTAGGGGACCGACTGGAGGAGAAGCCCAAATAAGGAGGTGCGGCGGAGCAGAGCCTGCTTGTGGGCCCGCCTCTCCTGAAAGTGTGTGTGTGTGTGTAGTGTATGCACACATGCCTGCACATATGTGTGCACGCATCTGTTCATGTGTACATGTACAGTATGTGCATGTACATGCCGGTGTCTGTGTGCATGCATTGTGTGGCTCATACATGTATGTTTGTATGTGCAGCATGTGCCCGTGGCATATGTGTGCGTGTATGTACGTGCATGTATGTGTACCCATAACTAGTGTGCATGTATGTAGCTCTTTTGTATGCATATATGTAGTAGTCTGTTGCACACATGTGTGTTTATGTGTACGTATGTGCACACATGTATGTATGTATCGTGTATGTGTGGATAGTGTGTATGCCTGTTGCGCATGTGTAAATGTGGGTGTGGCACTGTGTGGTGGGGGGGGAGGAGATGAGCACCTGAGTAGTGAAGGATTGTAAGACCCCTGAGACCCCCGAGACAGGGATGCAGTGCAGAGGGTGTGAGATAAACAGGATGCAATGGGAGGGTCAGACCCCTACCCAGGGTTCAGCGGTGATGGGCTGGGGGCCTGGGGAGCTGGGCTGCCTTGTTTGAGAGAGCTGCTCAGGCTGCCGGGCAAGTCCCAAGGCCTCCTAGGCCACCCCTTTACACGCACAGTGTCCTCCCCTCCCCCCTCCCCTGTCCCAGACCCACTTCCCCCCTGTACTTCCCCTGAGCCCTGTCTCTAGCTGGGAGAGAGTGGGCGGGGTGGAGACCTCCCCACCCCCAAACTTGGGGTCCAGTGATGGAGCGGGAGTGGGGGGAGCGAGCTGGGGGAGCGGGATTGGCAGAGGATGGGGCAAGTCTGCAGGGTCCGGTCCCTGAGCCCAGCCTGGTTGGTGAAGATGGCTTCCAGCCTGGGAACGGAAAAGGCTGCAGGAGTGGGGTGGGGCCTCTCTCCGCAGGAGCTGGGGCCTGGGGCTGGAGGGCGCAGTGTCCTGTCCTGCCAGTGCTGCCTGAGCTTATGCGTGTGGACTTTGGGACCAAGGCGCGGCCACTCGCTGTGAGGTCTTGCGCAAGTCCTTATCCTCTCTGAACTTCCCTCTGCCCCCCTGCCACCACCTCTCCTCGGTGGCCAGCCTGGCCCGGGAGAAGGAGCAGTGCTATGGAAACACAGGTGTGCATACCTGCCCCCCACCCCCTCCCCCGTGTCACTTAGCCCTCTGAGCTGTGGAAATCCTTGTCAGAGGACAACACTTCCCTATGGTGTCCCTCACCCTGAGGGTCCAGAGATCTGAGTTGGTGAGTGTGTGGGGAGGGGGGCTCCTGCCTCTGAGGCCTCCCCTGGGGAGCTCCAGCCCCCCCACCGGCCTCTTCCTGGGTGCCCGGGGAGGGGGGAGAAGCAAACACTGCCTGAGAGTGAAGTCCCACTTCCGCTAGTGGAGCCTACGCTAGCCCTGCCCACCCCCACCCCCCCCCAGGCAACCCACTTCCTCCTCTGCTGCTCACGGAAACAAAGAACAGCTGTCCTGGCCGGGATTGGCCCAAACACCAGAGGCTCGGCCTCACCCCCCACCTCTGTCCGCAGTGAGCCCCTCACCTACACCGCTCCCGTGGCAGCCCACAGGCCCACACCTGCCCCCTGTGGGCGTGGGCTCCACCATCCACTGGGCCACACCGGCTCACGCACCTCTGTCCCGGTGCTCGGCCCCTGGCCCCTGTACACACACTGCTCGCCACCAGGACTGTCCCTGTGTGGCCTCGTACAGCCCTGAGGAGACAGCCTGGGAGAAAACAAGGCCTCACGGGCGGCCAACTGTAGCCCAAGTTCATGGCCACTCAGGAACCCCTCTGAGCCTGCTTTTTTTTTTTTTTATTTGTAAATGAATGACAGCCAACTCTGCTCCCAGAGCAGCTGTCACATCGAACAGGTTATAAATGGGGCCTCCGTGGTGCTCCTAGTGTGATTTGTTTTAAGTGCAAAGGGAGGACAGTTTCTTTACATTAAAGATTTGTTTGAAAAGCAGAGTGACAGAGAGACAGAAGAGAAGGAGATCTTGCACCTACTGGTTTCAGTCCCCAAATAGCCCCAAGGCTGGAGCTGGGCCAGGCCAAGGCCAGGGGCCTTGAACTCTGTCCAGCTCTCTCAGGTGGGTGGCAGGGACCCAGGCGCTTGGGTTATTATCCACCAGTGCCTTAGCAGGGAGCTGGATCAGAGGCAGAGCATCCGGGACTCGAATCAGCACCCAGATATGGGTGTTGTGATTTCTCCGGCCACCCCTCAGCCCCAGGTCCCCACCAGCCACCCTCCCTGTGAGTGACCCTGTGTTCCTGGAAGCCCACAGAAAGACTGGCCTCCTTGGGCCACTGAGCCAGCCCCAGCCTTACTCAACTTACATAGGAGCGGGCACCTATCACTTGGGGGTGTGGGAAACACCCACGGTGCTGTCCAGGGTTTGTGTCCTTGTCCCATCTGCTCTGCCTCTCCTAGGGGTGTGAGAGAGAAGCTTTCTCCTCTGACACTGATCCACAGCCCCCGTGCACCTCTGTGTCCTCTCGTGCACTGAATGGACGCGTGAGTTTGGGGCAGGGCTCGCGCAGACGCTTTCATGGGACAAAACCTTTGTACCACGCGGGACTTGGGGGACAGATGGCTCTCTGGCTCTGAAGCAGCTTTTCTGTTGTTCCCCTTTCATGAATCAAGCTAATTTTGGATTCACTGGGATCCAGTAATGAACTTGGGAAGGCAGCTGCCTGTGGGAGGAGCCGGGAGAACTGGGCAGGGCCAAGCCCCCAGGAGCCTCTTAGAGAACATTTGGCGCAAGCAGCAGGCGGAAGGGTTCTTAACAGCCTTGACCTCCAGCCCAGGTGACCTGCAGGTGTGGCCTGGGACAAGCTCACCCTGCAGCTTCCAGTCGGAAGACATTACTGTGGGGCTGCTCACTATGGCCAGGGCCCCTCCTGCCACACAGGGCTCCTTCCCGTGAGCTGAGCGCTCAGCAGGGGGTCCACTGGACGTCCCTGCTGCTTGGGTTCAAATCTTAGCTTGAAGCAGTCACCGCCTGCTGTCTGTGACTTTGTCCTCTTCCTTAACATGGACATTAGAGTGGTGTCACATGGCATTGTTTTTATTTTAAAGATGTATTTATTTATTTGAAAGTCAGAGTTACAGAGAGGCAGAGAGAAAGAGAGGTCTTCCGTTACACTGGTTCACTCCCCAAAGGGCTGCAACGGCCAGAGCTGGGCCAATCCGAAGCCAGCAACCAGGAGCTTCTTCTGGGTCTCCCATGTGGGTGCAGGGGCCCAAGGACTTGGGTCATTCTCCACTGCTTTCCCAGGCCATAGCAGAGAGCTGGATTGGCAGTGAAGCAGCCGGGTCTCGAACCAGTGCCCACATGAGATGCCGGCGTCGCAGGTGGAAGCTTAGCCCGCTACACCACAGCGCCGGCCCCCTCCCTGATTCTGACACCTTTGATTCAGACCAGCACGCATGCACATGGCCCTCGCCCGCGTACACACAGCGTGGATGCAGATGACATTCATTCCTACATACCACGTGATGTGTGGATAGCACAGTGCAGGGCACGGCTGGGTCTCCGGCCTGTGAACCCAGACTCAGCCAGCGGAAAAGGCTGTCCCAGCTTCGTGCCATGAAGACTGCGTGCTAACTGAAGCGGGGGGGGGGGGGGGGGGGGAGAGTCATTCCCGGGAGTTAGAGGGCCCAATAGCCTTTGCACTGTCAGAAGCCTGCCTGGCCAGGTGCTCCTGACTTGGTCCATTCATCCCCTCCCCTGCCCAGCAGTTAGGATACAACACTGGTTACTCCCAGAACTTCACGTTCACTGTGTTCATTCACCTTCACAACCGTGCCTACTGCCCTACGGAGACTTCATCAAAGCAGTGGCCTGCCTCCCTGCCCAGCGGGCCCTAGACGGGGTGGGTGTCCCGGCCGTCCTTGCCCTGGGCCACTCCAGGGAGGCAGCGGCAAGGTGGCTCCATGGGGGAGGGGCTCAGGGCCGTGTAAGAGCAGATGACCTCATCACAGGCTGAGTCAACGGGTTATTTGGAGCAGCCACCACGGGGACAGCGCTGGCCGTGTCAGACCTGGCTCATCCTCAGCTCTGCAGACAATTCCCCGTGATCTCTGACCTCCCCGAGCAGGGGGGAGTGGATGACACGCTTGCTAGAGCGAAAATGCGCAGGGTCAGGTGCACTCTCAGCCTAAAACAAGAAATTCCCCCCCGAGGGGGCAGCTCTGGCCTGGAAGTCCTGGGG